ATATTTTGATGAGAATACTTTTCTACTTTCACTTGAGGAACATTTTGAATGCAGGACTTTTACTGTAACACAGTATTCCTACACTCTGGTACTTCTACTTTTACTCAAGTACAAGATCTGAGTACTTCGACTTTTACTCAAGTACAAGATCTGAGTACTTCGACTTTTACTCAAGTACAAGATCTGAGTACTTCTACTTTTACTCAAGTACAAGATCTGAGTACTTCTACTTTTACTCAAGTTCAAGATCTGAGTACTTCTACTTTTACTCAAGTACAAGATCTGAGTACTTCTACTTTTACTCAAGTAAGAGACCTGAGTACTTCTACTTTTACTCAAGTACAAGATCTGAGTACTTCTACTTTTACTCAAGTACAAGATCTGAATACTCGCCATGTCCAACGACAGCAGCCTCCTCAGCGTCTGGGAGGCCTCTGATTGGTCGGAAACGTCACAGTGCCCGCCCTCTGTAGGCGGAGCCACTTTCCTGATTGTGGCGTACAGCATTGTCATAGCGATAGGGTTGCTGGGCAACGCAGGACTGGTGTTCATCATCGCCCGGCAACAGGAGTTACGCAACGTCACCAACATCCTGATCGCCAACCTGTCGTGCTCCGACATCCTGATGTGTGTGGTGTGTCTGCCCGTCACCGTCATCTACACACTGATGGACCGCTGGGTGCTGGGGGAGGCGCTGTGTAAGGTCAGCACACACAACACACACACACACACACACACACACACACACACACACCCCCACACACACACACCCACACACACACACACACACCACACACACACACACACACACACACACCACACACACACACACACACACACACACACGACACACACACACCCACACACACACACACACACACACACACACACACACACACACACACCCGCAGCCTGGCTGTGAGTCTGTGTGTGTGCCCGGGCCGAGCCTCGCCGCATCCCGCCGTCTCAGGCTGAGAAATCCGCGGAGCTGCAACTGAGAAAAGATTGAGTGTGTGTGAGGAAGTCCGCGGATTGGTCCAGCCGTTACGTCACTATACTCAGGAAGAAACAAATGGAGAAAGAGAAATGTCCAACGAGGCGTTCTGGGGCAGCACAGACAGGTCTTCTCTGTGTTAGAGTTTTACTCCCTACAGGGTGTACTTTGAGGGTTTGTGACTCTGCAGACCGGTCACATGCAGAACAAGCCTCATAACACAAGGGGACGGGTGAGAACCGGAAAAGCATGACATGGGACCTTTAAGTTGAGAAAGATTCTGAGAAACAGTCATAAGTATCAGACAACGTATATAGTTCCCAGAGCCCTATCTTCCCTCAGTTCAGTATTCTGTTACCACTCATCCAGTAACCTTTTCAACATGTTAAACACAGAGAAACATGTCCAACTGTCTCCTGACTCTCTGTCCCAGGTGACTCCCTTCGTGCAGTGTGTCTCGGTGACGGTCTCTGTGTTCTCGCTGGTTCTGATCGCTCTGGAGCGCCACCAGCTGATCCTCCATCCCACCGGCTGGTCCCCTGCAGCCGGACACTCCTACCTGGCTGTGGGCTTCACCTGGCTGCTGGCTGGCGTCATCTCCATCCCCTTCCTCTCCTTCAACATCCTCACCAACGACCCCTTCCAGAACATCAGCCTGCCTGCCAACCCCTTCAGGTGAGCCCACAGATTCAGGTGTATCTTATTGTTAGAAAACTCTCCCTGGTCCCCGGCTTGAGTTTGAATCTCAGGATCCATGTATCTGTGATCCTCTCCAGAATGGAACGAGTCATCACATACAGAGCATCAACTAGTTCCTGAACAGTGTCCTTCACATGCTGATATCAAGAGAGGGAGTCACACAGTCACAAGATGGAGGAATAGAAAGCAGTATTCAATGTTTACTTTCAGATTAGCTCCACGTCAGAAAATGAGCATGCTTGATGTCTCTCTCCATAGAGGCTGAATCATCATGTTAATCACATAGCTATCATCTGCCTCAAACAGTCCTGATGCTCTTCTAGGTAATCACACATCCTGTCATGTTCACAGTAACAGTTGGGATACCCTTGTTAGCATGCTACTCTCAGGTTGGAAGAGGACACTCAGGATGTTCACAACAATATTCTACTCTGTTTCTTCTTGCACTGTTCTTAATGTTTTATGTCTTATATGTTGCATTGCTGGTGGAGCCTGGGACTCCAGATTTTCAATCTAAAAGTCGACAAGTTCTTGAGAGCATCATCTCTTTGGCACCATAGGCAATAAACTGCTCTTACACTTCATAACAAACGAGGTAAAACAAGTTATAATTCCCCGAGTATCAACAGCAAGACTGTATATTTAAATATATATATATATTGTATTTGTTGTAACTGTACGGACACTTGTGTGAGGTAATTACACGTTTCATGTTTTTTGCGCCTGCGTTGAAATGTAATCCCTCAGAAGCTTCTGTTGTCGGCCCTTGAACAACGAGATAGTTTATTATATTTGACTCAAGTCGGTGATCAGAGCGCTGTTTCCACACTTGGCTGCTCCTGATTGGACGGGAAGTCGCTGCGTTTGACTCGCTGAGCGGAGAGAGATCTGAGGAACACGACAGGGTTTTAATTGGACATCTTGCACAACATGGGTCACTGAATACTGAAGGTTTCTGGACTGATCGTCAGTCACACCTTCAGATCCATGATCTAATGTCTCTGAGCTTCATGGACACCACAGAGGGGGGCTAACCTTTAGATATGATGAATGTGTGAAGGACTGTGTCTCAAAGTGAGGACATTTTGTGGGGATGTCAGGATTTCATTAATGAACTCGTTTCAGACTCCGGTTCAATGCGGAGTCGGAGACTGAAATGCAATATAAGTAACGGATGGTGTGCAGAGAGGGGGTCATTAAGCTCTATATTATCCTGCTTATTACTTTATTATGTACTAAAGTACTCACATCTTGTCTTGAGTAAAAGTAGAAGTACTCAGATCTCGTACTTGAGTAAAAGTAGAAGTACTCACATCTTGTACTTGAGTAAAAGTAGAAGTACTCAGATCTCGTACTTGAGTAAAAGTAGAAGTACTCAGATCTTGTACTTCAGTAAAAGTAGAAGTACTCAGATTAGGGCTGAACGATATACCGTGTCATGGTGATAACCGCGGTATGCGCATGCGCGGTATTCACACCGCAGGGACGTGCGGTTTTATTCTTTTTTTTTTTAAATGCTAACGCACTTTAGCACAGAATTCAAAATAAAGATACCCTTATTACTTATCGAAACTGCACATACAATATATCCGATTAAAGCTGAGACTCCACAGATTATTTAAGTATAGTATCTAAGCGATCCGATCTCGCAACAGGGGAAGCAAACACAGACATCACAACACGTACCTTTACGGAGCTTTTACGGGAGATCGTCTCACCGTAGCTGTCAATCTGATCAAAAGACGTGTTCAATGGCATTGAAACGAGAAAGAAAAAAACGCGGCTGAATCGGTTGATCCATCGGTTGATAATGTATCTGTGGCTTTGAAGCAATTGTTTATAATCCATAATTCCATTTTTATGTAAAAAGCGGAGCACAACAGTTAGCTGCTAATGGTAGCCACCAGAGTGTATGCAGCTTCCGGTTTTGGCTACGCGTCACTCTCACTCCTTATTTGGTCATGTGTGTGTGTTAGACTGCGCTGGACTGCCGCATAGCCGAGACCGGAAGCAGCAGCCACTCTGGTGGCTACCATTAGCAGCTAATTTTTGCTCTGCGATATTTACATAAAAATGGAATTATAGATTATAAATTAAATCATTTTTTTATACAGAGACGTTAAAAACCTATGGATTAACCGATTCAGCCGCGTTTTTTCTTTCTCGTTTTAATGCCATTGAACACGTCTTTTGATCAGATTGACAGCTACGGTGAGACATCTCCCCTATAAGCTACGTAAAGGTACGTGTTGTGATGTCTGTGTTTGCTTCCCCTGTCCGAGTTCAGATCACTCAGTGATGATACTATATATCTAAATAATCTGTGGAACCTCAGCTTTAATCGGATATCTTGTAAGTGCAGCTACGATAAGTAATAATAAGGGTACTTTTATCTTGAGTTCTGTGCCAAAGTGCGTTAGCATTTTTCGCTCAGGGGTCATTTAGATGCTTCTTATGAGACTTGTGTTTTGTTTTGGTAAAAATGGTTTGTATCGTCAGTTAGCTGAGATTATTTCCGTTAATCTGGTATAACACATTAATAGGTTCTTAAATATTACGATCCCCTGAGACACTGTCGTGAAAAAAAAGTAAAGTACCCACCGGGACTTTGGGGTTTAACAGGTTAAAAAACCGCAATATATACCGCAGGGGGGGGGGGGAAATCGCGATGTCAGTTTTTTTCAATACCGTGCAGCCCTAACTCAGATCTTGTTCTTGAGTAAACGTAGAAGTACTCAGATCTTGTACTTGAGTAAAAGTAGAAGTACTCAGATCTTGTACTTGAGTAAAAGTAGAAGTACTCAGATCTTGTACTTGAGTAAAAGTAGAAGTACTCAGATCTTGTTCTTGAGTAAAAGTAGAAGTACTCAGATCAGGTAGTTGAGTAAAAGTAGAAGTACCAGAGTGTAGGAATACTTTTGATTATATTTCACATCATTCATCCACATCTGTGAAGTAACTGAAGGTATTACATACATGTAGCGGAGAAAAAGTACCTCTCTCTCTCCTCAGGGACCATGTGATCTGCACACACTAACCCCCCCCCCCCCCCCTCTCTCTCTCTCTCTCCTCAGGGACCATGTGATCTGCACACACTAACCCCCCCACCCCCCCCCCCCCCCCCCCCTCTCTCTCTCTCTCTCTCCTCAGGGACCATGTGATCTGCATGGAGCTCTGGCCCTCAGACCAGCACCGGCTCCTCTACACCACCTCTCTGCTGATCTTCCAGTACGGCCTGCCGCTGCTGCTGGTGCTGCTCTGCTACCTGAGGATCTTCCTCCGCCTGAGGAGACGCAGGTCTGCACTCTGTCTTTATCTCACCGAGCAGTGTCTACTGTATACTACAGAAGCACTGAGGGGCAATCAGAGAAACACTTTTTAAGTTTGGACCCAAAAAGATCATGCAGAACCCAACATGGCTGCAGTTCGGTCCCTGCATCTGAATACAGTTCAGAAATGCTAATGTGAGAATGTAAACAAAATAAGAAAACCCTTTATATTATAAGTATTCTAACAGCTGAAGTCAGGGTGGTAGCAGACATTTGGTTAAGCTGTCCAACATGCAGCTTTCTCCTCCTGGAAACACAAATCAAATCCAGCCCAACCGGTTATAAAACTCAGCAGAGGAAACTATTTTTATCAGACTAGAAAATAGATCAACAGAATAATCTTTTGCTCATTTGCTTCTCAGGGCTCCCCGAATGCCAGTCCTTTAGGCGCTCTATTTATATTTATATTCCCCAGCATTGTGCCGGGGCTTCAGTTTGGATTCAGAGGATTGACACCAGGCTTCCTGCAGAGGGGAAATGTACATTTGTTACAGCAGAAAAGAGCCAAAGAAAGCTCAATGTTACCTAAGAAGCATGCATCAAATATTTATAAATGTATATGCATTGTGCCGGGGGCTCTTTGTGGTATTTTCAGAAGCTTGACCCCAGACCTCCTGCTGTGTTTCAGGGACATGTTGGATCACAGCCGCAGGACTCAGAGCGCTCACAGGATCAACGTCATGCTGCTCTGCATCGTGGTAGCCTTCGCTCTGTGCTGGCTGCCGCTCACCGTCTTCAACACTCTGTTCGACTGGCACCACCAGGCGCTGCCCGACTGCCAGCACAACGCCGTGTTCTCCGCCTGCCACCTCACCGCCATGGCCTCCACCTGCATCAACCCCGTGGTGTACGGCTTCCTCAACAGCAACTTCCAGAGGGAGCTGAAGGCGACGCTGCAGCGCTGCCGGTGTGGAGGCGGACCGGCCGAGATCTACGAGAGCTTCCCTCTTTCCACGGTGGGCAGCGAGGGCACGACTAAAAACACCTCCATGAATAGGATGGGGTCCGTGTGCGTGCTGTCGCCAAAACTCGAGATCAGTTCGGTTTTACGGGACAAAACAATACCGGCTAACACCCGAGGAAGAAGTTTGGCTGACACCTGAAACACTACGTTACTGTGCATAACTTTGCCGGCAGATTGAAACTTCACTCCAGCCGGTTGTTGGGCATATAAAGGTCGACTGATGTAGCTTTACTTACAAAAGACAGGTACATAATCGTGTAAATGATTGTGTAAAACCAAAAAAGCTGAAAGAACATGATCGCTAAGCCCCGCCCCCTTTGGTAACCATTAGCCGCTTTCACACCAAGTACTTTCCCGTACTTAGTTCCCAGCACTTAGTTCCCAGCACTTAGTTCCCCCAAGGAACTAAGTACAGATCAGGAGGATTAGGAAAATGAAGCTGCTGACCTCACTTCTTCTTCTTCTGCTTTGGGTTTACTGGCAGGCCGCAAACCACTTCACAGCGTATACTGCCACCCGGAGTCTCCGGCCGGAAGTCCCCGGAGTTGGGGGAGACTTCAGTAGAAGCTGCTGGGACTCCCAGCAGCTTCTACTGAAGCCTTCCGAGTAACGGAGCGTCCACACTACAGCTTCAAAAAAACCTTGGAGCTGGGCGTGTCTGAAGCTTGGGGATTTTATTCGAGCAACGCGACCAACAACCAATAACATGAATCTCCCGCCCCCGACATACAAAGCAAAAAACCCCGGGGATTTTATGGGAGCAATATATATATATATAAACTCCCCAAACAGGCGAAAACCTACCAGTTTCACCCACTGTCTCTGCCACCTCCCTCCATGCCTGGTTCCTCCGGTTTGTATCCCGGTAGGGTGAAGAGGGTCTGCTCATACAAAACCGGGTGATTCGCTACGGCGATAATTAGTTTCTCCTCCATCTTTTTTTGAAATATAGAAATGTACGGCGGGATATCTCTCCCAGCTTAGACGCGGTTTGATTGGCTAGGGCTTGAGCTGTCAGATTTTCAGAAACGGGATTTGATTGGCTGGCGCTGGCTACTCCGGCGTCTCCGGCGGAGACGGACCGCTATGCTACCCACAATTCAGTTCGGTGAAAAGCGAGGCAACGGGACGTCACCCCATTCAAAGTGAATGGGCAGACGCGTTGGAAACTGTTTTTGAAGCTGTCGACGCTGTAGTGTGGACGCAGCGTTAATCGCCAGAACGCCGACACCTCCTCATCTCCACCGCTCCCATGTTTTATTTTCTGTTGCCATAAGTTAGTCTCTCTCCGTTGGTGCGTTGGGCTAATGCTAATAATGCTAATGCTAGCAAATACAATGGTGGCTTCACAAAACTTTTCAGAGTTTTACGGGGCGTGGATTTCAATTCACCCAGCCAATCAGAAATTGGTACTTTTTTTCTCCCCAGGAAAGTACCACCTCTCTAGCAGGCACTAAACATGGGGGTAACATGTCTCTGAACTAAGTTCTCTTTTTGGTGTGAACGCAAAATTCCAGGCACTAACGGAACCAAACGGGAAAAGTACGGGAAAAAGCACGGTGTGAAAGCGCCTAGTGACACATGGTACTCTGATTAGGTTCCTGACCAAGTTTTGTAACACAGTTAGTAATCGTACAGGAATACATTTAAGAAATCCTCCCAACCCGGATCTAAACCATGTTGAAGGTCCTAAATGTGTTCTTGATATTGTGCTAAAAGACAGATCCCAGGAAAACATCTCTAGCAAGGAAAATAAATCGAGTTTGTTCTTGTTTTGCATTTGATTGAGTTAGCTGTGGTATTACAGAGTGACAAGAATATGGTATAAAACTGTAAAGTAATATACAGAAAAGGATGTGTTATTGTCTGCTAAGGAAAGCCTGTTCGGATGCTAACTGTAGACAAACGCACTTCAAGACATACTTTCGGGTTGAATAATAAAGATTTTGGGGCAAAAATAAGGCCATCTCTGGAAAGAAAGTGTAATCCGCTCCATCACGTGTTTGAACTGTGATTCTTCCAACTGTAAAGGGTCATTATGATGGTGATAGTATTGAGAAAGTGTGGTGGAGATGATCAATGGAAGTAAATGGGGGTTCTGAACATTGTAACATAACTCATTGATATAGAAAGCTCTCATTAAAGTCCATATGAATGCATTTAGAAACAGTGGAATTCTAACGTTTCCATTGCATCTTTTAAATAAAGCGTGTCCATCTTCCATTCCAGATTATACATTTGTATTCAATAAACAGCCACGAAATGACGCTTCATCACATCATTTCCCTTTTGGCTGTACTGAAGTAGAACACAGATTGTATTTAACTTTAATAAACTAGGGGGAACATCTTGGAGTTTCTCCATTTTCTACTTTTCTGCTGAATTCTCTGTAAACATTGTCGGTTCATTGTCAATAAACCAAGCGAACCTCCGAACTCCAGTAATAACTCACATTTATCATTTTTAAGCAAAACACAACTATCACCATCTGGCTCTGTTGTGTTTTAAATACTTTTCAGTCAACAGAAGAATCAAGGTACTTATTTTCAAATATATTCCACCCCAAAATGCCTTTGATTGTATTTCATTGCAACTTTATTTGACCCTTTCAGCACATTTTACTTTCCTCTTCGTAGCTGTTTTCCTTCCCAAAGTCAGCATGTCTGAGGATTTTCTCTCGGTTTAAGGTCAAATAGAGGATAAATATAAATATATCACTATCAACTAGGGCTGCACGATATCTCGTGTCGTGACGATAATGGCGATATGCGCAAACACATCATGTTACAATTATTTTGCTGCTTGCTACAAAAGGAAAACTGTCGCGGCTCTCATGTCAGGGCATTGAGTGAGTGACAGCAAACCATTCACAAACAAATCTCCAAAGCAAACGGACCCGGAGATCAAAGGTAGAAACACTGAATAAAGTCGTTTCAAGTGTTTCTCCAGTTCGTCGCTGCTAACCGAGCTAGCTCAGCTCGTTGCTCCGATAACTGAAGATCCAGACGTCCGTGACTAAAATCCTTCATCTGGTTAAATATAGTTAGAAGAATACCAATTGTATCATTAAAGTTCAAGAAAGGATGGTACAAAAAAAACTGTCTTTTCTTCAATTCCTGTATTTTCTCATATCGTAATATATATCACGCAGGGAAAGAAATATCGCAATGTCAGTTTTTTACAATATCGTGCAGCCCTACTTTCAACTATACTATAATCCCCATATAGGGGTCTTATTTAAAGGGATAAAAGCTATATCTATTTCTGAGGGGTTCTTGAAGTGTCGTCTTTCTGAAATCTGAAATCTGTTAGTGTAGGAGCCATTTTATGGGTGTTGTTGGTGTGTCAGTTTATTTAAGTTATATGTATAGTGCAATATTATCTTGAACACTTGGTGGCGGGGTTTAGCTGCACCGGGTGTATATAAAGAGGTCATAGGTGACCGGAGAGGGAGGACACAGAGAGAGAGAGCATACCGATTCCAGCAGCCCGGCAGATGCTCATCACAACAACTAGAACTGTACAATTAAACCCTGGAATGTAAACGCTGAATAAACCTCATTATAAACTGCAACAAAGGACCGGAAAGTCATCTGTATGTGTCTGCGTCTGGATCACTCTTCAGCCCTTCTGTGAAGTAATGGCAAAAATATATAGGACATAGGAACAGGACATTTCCATTACAGTTAGTTTCCCTTTTCCCACACATTTGAACCCCCCTTTAGTGTCACTACTAGACCCCCACACAGACACATAAAGAGCTAAAACAACAACTGCAAGTCAACTATTCAAATATCCAGAAGGACCTACACATTACTTTTTAAGGGCAACAACAACAGACAATTAACCAGTAAATTGATATCTGTATTGATGAAGAACTCGTACATGATTACATGTAACGCATTGGAGAGACACTGACACCTTATTATGCAACAACTTGAAAGATCGGAAACATATTTTATTAGCGCTGTATTCTTTTGGGGTTTTTATTGGTTATGAAGGACTCGGTGCAGAATCTATAAAGTCAGTGTTTACCAGAGTGATTGATCACCGCTATCTTCCTGTTGCACGCAGATGAAGATAGAAATCGGTATATTTGATTTGATGCATCTGAGTTTTGTTGTAATTGTGTTTCTGCCCACGGACTGCAGATGGAAACAAGTGTTTAATCTCTTCTCTTTCAGATGAATGTATTTTTATACACGGTCCTTATTCGAGCCAGTATTTTGTTTTTATACGAAAGGCCACCTAATCGTGAGTCTGTAGTCAGCACGGTATAAAAGACTACAATTCCCACAGCGCCTCCTCTAAAGTTGATGGGAAACTTGTTAGAAAGACGCCGTCGAGGCCGTTTTTAACCGTTCAATTACCCTTTAAGTTATCAAGTTATATAAGCCTTAACATAGAGAGAAAGAATACCTCAGTTGTTTGTTATTTTATTTGAGTTTTGCCTCTTTTGTTTTACTGTAAAGGCCTGTTTCCTGTGTCAAAAGTTATTTTGAGCAAACCCACTGCCTGCACAATATCATCCAAACCATCGGAGGCAAAGCAACTCGTCAAATTTGAATAAAACAAATATAAAGGGACGAAAACGAGGCAGAAATGTCTGTTAAAGGCTTTTAGTGGCTGATGGAAAATAAGGAAGGAAGCCACGACGGTCCTTGTTCAATAAAGACCTCCAATAACCCTGATGAAGGAGAGGCAGACTGAGCAGGTGTTGCAGGAGGAAAAGCTTCACAAGTGAGTTCTCCTCCGTCAGGACAGATGTTCACAAGCTGAGCTCTCTTCAGGGAGCTAATGACCGTTAGCACGTTAGCGCTGCGTCATCGAGGGGATCGTAGTCACTAACGAGCCCCAAGGCATTCTCATTACAAAACCATTCTGTGTGTGTGTGTGTGTGTGTGTGTGTGTGTCAAACAATTGAATCTAGCCTCCAGCTGCAGCCTGACTTCCTGTTTCTTCAAACAGATTAAATTAGCTGTCACTCTGCTCCAACATGTGTGCATGCTGATATGCAGACTACAGTTATAATATGCCACTTTAATGCATTCAAATGTGTAAAAACAACTAACTGTTGGGTTCTGTAGCTTCCTCGCCTGTAATGAATATACTTGTAATCCAGTTCAAGCCTCAATTTGTGATTTAGAAACCACATCTGGCAGAAAATGGCGTGTTTCATTCATCGTGATAAATTGTTTCATTACTAATGTTGCATAATTGGCCCAACATCTGTTTCTTAAAGAGGCCCTATTCTTCTTTCTGTGGTGTTCCCTTTGCTGTGGTGTGTTCACTGGGATTTGTGCATTTCAATGGTCTGCAATGTTTAAAATCCCTGCCTGAAACGCCTCCATTGGACTCCTTTGTTTACTTTTAGAAGGACGGTTGCCAACAAGTGTCTAAATTAGCCACCTTTAGCTTAGCGGTGGTGAAGTGATGTGACCATGCTGTAGTTCCTTTATAGCCCAACATTAGCCTCCTTTAGCTTAGCGGTGGTGACGTGAAGTCATGTGACCGTGCTGTAGTTCCTTTATAGCCCAACATTAGCCTCCTTTAGCTTAGCGGTGGTGACGTGAAGTCATGTGACCGTGCTG